GGGTCTTGTCTTGTGAGACTGTGCAACCAACAATAATAATTTATTAAACTTGTATGCCACTTTGCCTCACACTTGTCATGCACATGTGAAAAAGCTTTCCTATAAATTATGGAGGACTCTCTTTTAGAACTGAAAATAATCTTTCCTATCATATTTATAGAAAGGCAAAATAAAAAATAATAATATATAATAATAAAAAAATGTAAGATAAATCAAATGTGTATTTTACATTAGCATTTTTTTCAAACTTGGAGATCAATTTATTTCTTTATCCTAGTAATCCTAAACCTGAAAGTCTTAGAAAATAGTCCCAGCTTCTGACTACAGTTTACAATATATCCAAGCACAAAGCTAGCAACACTCATGAATGACTTAATTATCAAGATCCACTTCACGTCCCTATATTCAAAAGCCAGCACAGCTGTTTTGATTTTCCCAAGTCTTCTGGTGATGTTCAGTATTCTACCTATCCAGATTAGTTATTTAGGGTAGAAAACGAAGGCAAGACATTGCAGTTATTTTGCTTCTTTCTTAATGGAGAGAAGACAATTATTCCTAGAGGACAACTATACTACGGTGTTTCACAATATTCAGGTTTGTTCTCTATGCTGTCTTAACAGAACTGCACAGTGACAATCGCCCAATCTGGAATTAAGTGCAATCAGCACAGAAGTAACACCCTGTTCTCTTCCTCTTTAAAATCAAATCCAGATGAACCTGTAAAAAGGGCTACATTACTGTTCACAACTGAAAATTAATTGCATGAAGAGTAATATTCTTAGTTTACACAAGATGGAGATGCTATCAATTGTCCTACCGTTTGAGACTTATTTCCTCAGGCTTTTGAGATTATGTATATTTAGCGTGCTATAATTTTATCGGTCTACTTTTGATATATTGTTTGCTATTTATTGCAACAATGTTGTATTGTTTCATTCTTGTAGGCTGCTCTAAGAAGTTTAGCTGAAGATTACATAATAATAAACAAATGTCATCAGGACAGGGAAATCATGTTCAAGCTTCAGCTCATAGCACTGTAATAAATATCAGAGATAAAGAAGGGAACCTTGTACACCAAAGCAGGATATAAATAAAATTATATCACAACACCATAGTAATTATAACTCAGTAATAAAATACACAAATGCAAATTACAGCCCAATACCTGTATGTCATTTACTATATATACTGAACATCTATCATCACCTGCAATTGCTTCTGGAGACATGGGTGTCCCAAGGAGCTTGCTGCTTTCATCAGCATCATGCCACAACACTCTTTTGTATGTGTGTGCGATGTCACAACACATATACTAAAGGGGCAGGAATTGAGTTGGCACTATGTGATTTTTGTCATTCCGTCTGCCCTGAAGGATATCACTGGCTGGCGAGTAGTTGGTAAAACAGATGAAAAATTAAAATCACTTACTTGCTGTGACAATGCAACAACAAATCAATGATAAATGTCTGCCATGCTTTTTCTTTACTTAGTGCATCCAATGCTGTTGGAATTAAAGCAAAACAAAGTGTCATCGCTTCAAGTGCTTCACAGCAAACTTGTTCATCTTCTGCATCTGGTTCATTGCCTGCATTTGTCTACAAAATAAATCAGAAATAAGCAGAATAACATATGTGAAAGTGGGATTGATTACTTTCTTAACTGTTCCCTTCAAACCCAAGGAAAATACGCATACTATTTACTACATGCTTAAAATCACAAACACTAATAGTAGATTAAAACCAAAAGCTGGGATTAAGGATTTGAAGAGTTGATAAAATGTACTATGAGACAATAATGTAACTATACTGATTTGAAACAGATTTCACAGGAATTCAAATTACACACAGGAGATTAGTGTTGATGAAAACTGCACAAGGCAGGGAAGTAAATATAACACTTGTTCATAATTGCCTGCTTGTGATTGTTTGAATCTAATTTTAGCTCTTTATCAAGAGCTAAACATTTTAAGAGAATTTAGAATTTTTAATTAATTATCTGGAGTTTGTTTTTATTAGATAAATCAGTTTCTCAAACGGACATCTTCTTTCCATGATCTTTCACATTCGGAAGAGGAAGAATTATCAAAAGTGACTGCCCCATTCTTAAGCTACTACACAAATTCAGGCCACAGAATTTAGCCTAGATCCACCACAAGCAGCAGCCAATCCATATTTTTTTTCTGCACAGTTACACAATTATATGATCAAATTATAATTTTTAGTTTTACTAAAAACAACAACATTACTTAAGGCATCTATTTGGGGGGATTATATTCATTTATTTTCAGATATAGTGTAGGGTATAGATGATACGTAATAGGTAAATATCTGTTGTTAATTAAAATTATTCTACATATAAATTTTTACAAAGAAAGGAAGGTAAAATAGAAAGGTAAAATATTTCTTGCAAGTACTTCACAGCCCAAAACAAATCCCACTGACATACATGAATGTCATGTGAGATACCCACATAAATACAGATTTTATGCACATCTACGGGCAGATTTAGTTAAATACAAAGAAATAAAGAATCAAGCAATTTTGTGGCCAAACCGTAGTCTTACCTTTATATACAGAGATATCAAATTGCAAAATTACTTAAATTATGTAAATAACTTAATAAATTTAAAAACATTCTTTCTACAAAGATGATAGCTCTAATACTATGCCAATAAAATTAGAAGAACAACAACTATCTAAAAAACTATAGCAATGTTTACTATTTGTAAATAGGCCACTTGAAGTTCTTAGTTTGGTCCTTCCTATTAAAAACCAATTAGAAGCAAATGCCGGTTCGGTTTTCTTACCTTTTCATAAATTTTACTAATATCTTCATTTGAGTTGAATACCAGTTGTACTGATCCACATCCAGAAGCCCATACTATTTTTTGCACTGCTCTAATAACACAAATATCAGGAATAAACTTCGAAGCCTGAAAACAAACATAATGCCATACAAATATAATAATTAATCTACCATTTCACGTATTATAATGTAAGCATGTACTTAAAAGTGAATCCATGCCATAGCAGTCCACAGTCTTGCATCAGACTTACAGGGACATAATTTATTCACCTAGCTCAAGCCAGTCCATTGTCTTGTATCAGATTTAGAGACACAATTTATTCACCTAGCTCAAGCCATCTACTGCAGCCACTCCCATAGTCTTCAAGAAGAGGTCTTTCTCATCATCTGCTGTTTCTTTATAATTACACAAGCTAGAAATTTAAAGTCCTTTCTGCAGCTGCATCTTCCCACAAGCAGCCTTGAGTGTAAACCACCTCTGAGGTTTCCAAAATGCTTTAGGGTACAATTCAAACTCAGGAGGACAATACCATGGGCTAACTGCAAACCACACTGTATTCATGATTTGCAGTAAATTAATTCACAGTGACACTAACTGAAAGTAGGTACAGCTTACATTTGGACAACACTGGGCACACTATAGAGTTCCTTGAGAAAATCCGGTGGGTGCAAATGGGATTCAAAGAGCCTCCATTCATCCATAGTCTCATGTACGTGTCCTTTAGTTTTTTTTTTTTTCAGAACCAAAAATAATCCAGAAACAGGCTATAAATTTAAGCCAAAGAGGTTTGGAGTGCTTAATACTTAACCATACTAACCTCATCAGATATTTGCTGTGCAAGGCGTATTGCTACATTTCTTAACATGCACTCTGAAGTTGGATTGGGAATGTTCTGTAGAGCAGTTTGCAACACCACTGCCTGGTCATGAGTCGCTTGGTTGATCTGCAATAATTTATATTCAGTATTTTTAAAGAGAGAACACATTCTGTCCAACAGTAAAAATTAGTATGTTGAGAAAATTGTTTTCATTGCATTTATTCCAATGCAAATTATTTGCATTCCATTCCAAAAATGTTAATATGAATGTTCAGTTACCTAACAAAGTTTATTAAAATAGATCTGAACAGATAACTTCTCCATAAAAGAGATTTCATCCCAAATTACAAAGGTTTATGCAACATCTATTATTATAAATCTCAATTAATCTCAAGAATAATATTCAATATTGTTTTTGCAGTCATCACCCTTTTTCTTCACAACCTGAAAACTAAACTGAAACAGTAGACTTCTCAGAAGAGAAATTCTAAGACGGAATAAGGTTAAGAATATCTTACTTGCATTTTAAAAAAATTTTCTATCTACCATCCAATCTGGCAATTTCTTATATAGAGTTCACCATTAAATTTGTTTTCTAGACTACTTAGTCAACTTTCTTTTCCTCCATCAATCCTGAGCTTGTCTGTCTGTCTATTTACAATTTCTACGATGCTCAATCCAAACAGGACTCTAAGCAGCTTTCAAAATAGTGTAAACATTGGAGTAAAACAGAAATATAAAATTTGTAGCATAAAGCAAACAATAATATTAAGAAAAAACCTTCCTATTTATCGTCACTCTGAGGAATAACACAACCTGTAAACAGCCAATCATTGGATGCAAGAGTGGGAACCCACCATTTTACCAGTCCCTAAAGCTTTCCAAAATAACCAGATCTTAATGGTTTTTCTAAATGCCAGCACAGTACTAATCTGACTGCAGGTCATATTAAGCTGTATAAATGTTCACTTCTCACTTGTGCTGTTCTCTATGTACTTATTTACAAACCTTCCACTGGCACCTTACCAAATGCAATAATTAAATGGCTACCATTGGACATTAAGTTGCAAACTTGCTTTGTATTCAAGCTAGTTTGTCTCCTGAAATGGGTTTAATTATTGTATTTTTAATTATACATGTTGTTTTTGTAAAACTGTAATTTTATTGAATGACAGAAAGATAGAATATAAATTAGTGTTAAATTAGATTAACATATCAATATGTTGCTCAAGTTGAGAAAAATACTGCTTGCTAACTTTAGAGAAATAGACTCTATGTGATCAAAGGGTCTAAGCAATGACTTCAAATTCAAGGTAACAGCAGGAAGCATGCATATAGAAAATAACGAATGCCAACAAAATTACTGAGGAGAGGAACTGAAGACCACGTTACCAGAAGACTGACTGAGATAAATTTATTTGGCCCAAATGCACGAGAAGTCAATGAGAACAGGACTTGCCTAGATTTTTAAAAAAAACCTGCTGTGTGAGAAAATATACAATGTAATATCAGATTATAAATATTTGACAGTTTACAGTTGATGATTTACATACACAAATTTTGTTCTAGAAATTATGGTTACCGGGAGAAATGGACTGTGAAGATGGCAGAATTTGCAGAAATAGCAAATTGACTAGTTTGATTAGGGACAAAACAATAAGGATTTTTATAAAAGTTTGGAAATCTTTTATGGACTTTTTGCTGAAAATGGATAAAAATGAATTGTTGATTTCTGGATTTGGTGATTAAAAAGGGTTGAACATGGGAAGAAAGGAATTATATAAAGCAATTCTAGAGGGAGAGAAATGGTAAAAGTTTCTATCTGCTGTAAAGAAGATTGGAAGCCGCATCATTAACTTGCTTTTTCTTTTTCTTTCTTTATCTATATTGTTTCTAGCACATTTTCTTTTTCTCTATTTCTATTTTCTTTTTATATACTTTTTCTTGTTGATCTTTTAATTATGTAAACACTTTTTAATAAAACTTATACAAAAATAATTATGGTTACCGGTGACATTGGGCTTGTACCCTCTACAACTGGTTGACAAGCTTCTGCCACAGCTCTCACGTGACCATAACCAATTGCAGTTAGCAACAGCTTTGCTATTTTTAAAGCATTTAGGTAAGCACCCCTTCTTGTTTCCATATCTGCATTTGGCAGGAAATTATTTCTAGTCAGCATACTCAACACGAGGGGTAAGCCACCACTTTTTAAGAAATTGTACTGAAAATCAGTAGCATCTTCTCCCAGAGGTAAATTGGCAGGCATTAACAAGGCATAAACTACCTGGAAAAAAATAGAGAAAAGATACAAAAATGACATTTTAGTAAAAATGCTTTCAAAACTCAGTGCATTAGACTGCAGGATGGGGATGATATATATAATTATTCATATTCATCAGAATGATCTGATAATGCATTAATATGATGATGATGAGGATAATAATAATAATAATAATAATA